CCCCCATGTCTGAGGAGGGGGCGGGGCCTGGCGGAGGGGAGGCCTCTGAGTGGCTGCAGGCTGTTTTGTTTGTTCCTGCAGCTCCGGTTACCCAGCCTGCCTCGCTCCGGTGCTGCCTGGTCACGTCTCTCATCGGCTCCTTTTATTGTTTACCTTCCTAATGAGGGGGGCGGGGCTCTGCGACGTGTGATTGACAGCCCCTCACCCCTTACCTCCCCCCACCTCCTCCTCCTCCTCCTCCTCCTCTGGACTTTGGCTTTTTGGCTGAGAAGTCCTCTGAAGGAGATCTTTTTTTTTTTTTTGTGGGAAGTGTTTTTTTTTCCTGCGGCCTGCAGAGGATTGTGGGAGAGTGATGGCGGATGCACACATTCCTGTCGCACAATTATCTAAAGCTGATGACTCACATCATGACTCACCCGCTGCTCTCGTTTTCTCAGTTTCTCGGCGTCCTTAAAAGAAAAAAAGGAAAAAACGCCCTCCAGATGCAGGTTTGGACATATTTTGAAGTGTTTGTCGACTCCCCCGGCCCAACCAGAGCAAATTTGCTTCCCTGAGAGCAGCAAAAAGAAAAGAACAAGGGAGGAAGAGAGGAACCAAATATTGGGACTGTGTTCATTTCGCTCCGTGGTCGACTTCAAAGGGCCGATCGGGGCCAATGAAGAGAGCGCAGACCTTTGAGGACGAACACACTGAGCCCAGCGTGACGCGCACACAGTCTGACTGCCGCAATTTGACTCAATGAGAGGGGGCATATTTATTTTTAATAAAGCCACACTTATTTTGGGACTGACATTTTACAACGCTCCTTTTATTGTGGAATCAATAGCCGGTTAAATATTGATAGAGGCCTGAAGTTGCCTACGCGCCACAGAAGTTCAGCTGTGTTTGAATCCTCTCTGGGACGAGGCTGGTTCGTTTTGTTCTGGTGAATCTGGGTCGTCCCACTGAGCCGGAGCCTCCTGAAGCCGCTCTGCTGTCTGAGCTGCTTCCACTCAGAGGAGGCGACTTTAACGTGTTCACCTGTAACCAGCCTCAGTTCATCTGGTTTATTTGTGGCACAAGTTGCTCCAAACGCTGGTGTTGATGCTGTTTGGGTGAGTTTTGGGGGTGAGGAGGGGTGAGGAGGGGGAGGAGGGGGAGGAGGGAGGAGCGCTGCCCTGGTGTTGGCTGAATGTGGAGCCGAGGGCGCCAGGCGGATATTTGAGCCCCAGGGGGAGCGAGTGTCTCCTGTGGGCAGCCCCCCTCCTCGGGGGAGGCTGAGGGGATTTGGATCAGGGTCCCACCTGGACCCTGTGGGGCCTCGGTGGGGCCCCTTCCTGCAAAGACCCCGACAACTGAGAGTTTCGAACCGGGGGCTCACCTGCTTGTTTGTTTGTTTGTTTGGCTGAGGAGGCTGTTGACATTCAGACGCTCGTGTTTGTTTACAAGTTTCTGTTCAAGATTTCGCCTCAAATTAAATGAAAACATACAAACAGTCTCAGTTTGATCCTCAGACATGGACCAGAACCGTCCAGAGTGCAGAACCCAGCGGCTGCTCTCAGATCAGTTTGTGCTGCACATTAACATCACAATGTCCTCGGAGTGTGTTTGTCGACGCAGCGAGTGTGTCGACTCTGTGGAGCTGCTCGGGTCTGTTCAGTCCAGCAGCTTCATCAGAACATGAACCGCCCGTCTGCTGGTCCTCAGAGTCCGTCAGCAGCTTACGTCTGAGTTCTGTAGCGACTCAACGTCCAGACAGGAGGCAGATCAAACTTTCCTCCTGGTGTGCAGGTGTTTAGAGGTGTGTTGGGGTGGAAGCAGCTCCTCAGCGTGTTGCTGTGATGTCGTTGCAGACTGGCAGAAGACCGAAGCCCAGAAGAGACGGGAGCAGCTGCTGCTGGATGAGCTGGTCATCCTGGTGAACAAGAGGGACGCGCTGGTCCGGGACCTGGACGCTCAGGAGAAGCAGTGAGTTACACACAAACACAACAAAACACAACAACACACACACTGGAGCAGCAGCAGCAGCGTCTCTGAGGAAACGTCCACAACAAACGTTTACCTGCTCAGGTGGGACTCGGGCCAGGTCGGTGCCGTCGGCGGTGCCAGGCGGGTGAAAGGTGGCGGCTCGGCCCCTGGCATCGCGCCACTCCACAGGTGGCACGGCGACGGTTGCCGTGGCACCGTTACCTGTGTGTGTGTGTGTGTGTGTGTGTGTGTGTGTGGCTCCTCCCCCTGAGACTCTGACCTCTTGACCTCTGTGCAGGGCCGAGGAGGAGGACGAGCACCTGGAGAGGACGCTGGAGCAGAACAAAGGCAAGATGGCCAAGAAAGAGGAGAAGTGTGTCCTTCAATGATTGTCAGAAAACACAACCAACAAATGTAGCCGATACAAGAAATGTACCCTCATCCTCTTCCTCCTCCTCTTCCTCATCCTCATCATCATTATTATTATTGATATTATTATTATTTGATAGTGGCTTTTAGACATTTCTATCAGTTTCTGGTTGGAACCCTGATGTTCAGAGACTCAAACCCGGCGACACCTTTCTACTAAAATCCAACTCCTGCATTTTTTATTTTGCTTTTTTTTTTTCTTCTTCTTCTTCTTGACGGAGAACGGTACCTGCGTGTAACATAAACCCGTAAGAGACTGGAGCAGCCGGTGTGGCGTTGGCATGTGATGACGCTGCAGCTGAGGTACAGCACAAAGCGGCTTCAGGAGGATCTGACTTTTTATTCCCACCAGAAGACGAAGCGGTTTCACTTTTTAAAGGACAGAGAGAGAGAAAAAAAACAAGAGTACCATCTGTCTTTTGGAGCTTCTTCATTACTTGACTGTGTATCTTTTAATTATTTCACTTTAAAGTTTCTACTTGTAAAATATCTTAACTGGGGAACCGTTCATAAATCTCACATAACTTTCTATCTTTTGTTGTTTTTTTAAAATTGTCTTGGCTTGAAAGCAGTTTACCAAAAGAAATGTTTAAAAAAAAGAAAATGATAAAAAACAAAACAAACAAACAAACAAAAAAAACACTTGTGTTGTATATTTTCATCACTGCTCTGACCAACAGCTTCCAAAATCCTTTTTTGTTTTTTTGTTGTCAGGATTCATGCAGTCAAAAAAGAAAAACAACAAATATATATATTATTTATTGCCGTTTGTCCTCTGAGCTGCTTGTAAGTGAATCTACATCACATTTCATTCATGTGCTTTTTTTTTTTTTTCTCAACAAAAAACTTTTTGTTTTGGTTTCTATTTATTGTATTCAGAAGAAGAGAAATATGCTTCCACGTGCATCTCTTAGAGCTCCACATCTGGTGCAGCTGTTCTTTTACGTGTGAACATTTATCTGATTATTTATTCCAGTGTCATAACCCAAGTCTTCAGTAATAAAGTCCTTATGATTTCATACTCCACGGAGCAGCAGCGTGTGGCCTGTTTTTAAACCGCCTCATGTTTTCAATCCTGTAGCTTTAAATTCTGTTTTTATTTTTCAGCGTTTTCTCTTTTTAAAACTTGCAATCCTCATTTTTTTTTTTTTCTTTATCAATTTGCCAATTTTACCTCCACGTGATCCAACCCTGACTCATAATCTTCCTTTTTTATTATCGGTATTATTTTTAAAAGTGATTGAAATGCATGCACGCCCATGAAGTGCTGCAGCTTTCTGTCTGCAGCGAGCGTTGCGTTCAGAAAATGCTTATTATTCGGCGCTCTGTTCAATTCCCCTGCGACCCCGCGCGCGTTTATAAATTAAAATTGGCGTTCGGCTCTTTTTGTTTGAGGTCGGTGCTGAGCAGGTTCCTCTGAGGAAGATTAGAGGAATCACTTTGTACCGAGCAGATGTTTGCTCTCCCTCTTCTCCGCTCGCTCTCCGGGCCGCTCCTGTGCGCGCTGCAGACGGGGGGCAGAGCTGGAGAGGCTCGGTGACCCGCAGCCGGAGATGGAGGCTCGAGAAACTGTTCGTTTTCACATCTATAATTAAAAATATAGATATTTCACACGTGTAAAATGACACATTTAGACTTGTCACTAATTCACCGAGGCTGAAATTAGGTGTGAAAACTAGAGAACGAGCAGGACCGGGGTGTGCGGGTCTCCGTCCCTGCAGGCAGCCTCCCGTCCCCGATTAAAGCAGGGAAATAGGTTGTGACAGCAGACGTCCTGCCCGGCCTTTCTAATACTTTCAAATTAATTTCCTGATTCGTTTCTTCTCTGCTTGGGACCGACTGTACGCGCACGTTTTACGCACCGTGCGTCCCCGGAGGCGCTTTGTTTTACTTTGTGTTATCGCGGCGGCTGAAATCTGCAGAGAAAAGGCGAAAGAAAAAAGGCCAAAGCGGTGAAGGACGGAGAGCTGAGTGTGTGTCTGAGAGTGTGTGTGGAGGGAAAAAAAATCACCAGCCTGCCTCCCACTCGTACGTGGATTTAAACTTGTCATAAAAATTGCTTAAATACATTTCTGTGAGTTGTAAATAATTTTATCCGGATGGAACTGTTCATGCGTAAAAGTTTGGTGCCAAACTTTTACGCATATCAGTTTAAAATAATCCCTCGTCTTAATTAGTGCCGAGTTAAATTCATTATTTCAGGTGATTATTCCAGGATTTATAACATATTTTTCTGTGTGTTTTTTTTTAGATTTAATAAACAATAAAACGGCTGAAACCGTCTTACCTCTGCAGCGCCGCTCGGGTTTCTTTAATGTTCCAGGAGTGAAAAACATTCTGAGTCCTTTTTTTCAGTGAATAAGAGCGACGCGCTGCGTAAAAAAGGCGGCGGTGTCTCGGCGCGGCTGTGCAGCTGAGGATCCTTCAGCTGAATGGATTATCTCCTGAGCTTTGATGTCTCCTGGCCTCACCTCACAGGTGCTGCGCGCCGCTCGGCCTCTGCGTTACTTCCCATCGCCCGCCGCCGTCCAAAAAAGCCGCACCTGAGGGAGCCCGGGTCTCTGCGTGCGGCGCCGCGGCTCCTGCAACACTGTGTTTTATGCATCATCGTTTTAATAAGCACCGACAACATCCCCGCAGATCCCCGCTTCCAATCCTGCCGGCTGAAGGGACAAAACTTTTCCCCCTCCTCTCATCGCCGCCTAATCCCAGGCTTTACCAGCTCAGCATTAAGAAAATTCAACTGCAATTTGGGATTAGACAAAATACTCTTATTACAAAAGGTTGGTGCAACTTGATAACTTGATACTTGTTCAGGGGTTTATCTCGGGGTCTTACTCACATCGAGAGAGGAAGAGGGCGAGAAAAAAAAAAAAAAACAAATGCAGGGAAATGTCAGAATAACCGTCTCTTTTGTGTTGTGAGGGCCATATTTGTTGAATGGCCTTTTTGCATAATTTAACGGAGCCTGTGTGAGTGTGGAGGAGAGGAGGCTGCTGCTGCTTTGGCCTCTGACTGCTCGGACTTCACGTGTGTTTGAAATATAAAATAAATAGCAGCTGCGTAAACGTGTCTCCAGAATCTATCATGTGAGGACACCTCTCCCCTTCGCCCTCATATATTTATTTCTGTTTGATTTTGGCCTCTTGTGTGCGTAAAAACGCAGATCCTGCACAGCGAAGGTGCGTTCAGGTGCCTCCACTGTGCAGCATCTCCACACAACAGGCCTCCAACATCACTTTGTTCCTTTTCGGACTATTGATGTCTAAGTTTCTCTGTCAAAGTGCTCTCGTCGATGACTTTTAAGTCCCATCGGCCTCCACTTTGATACCCCTCCTCCTCCTCCTCTTCCTCCTCACACACATAAAAATGTAATTTCCATCCCTGCTCTCTCTCTCTGTGAACATTAGCTCGCTTTCAGCTCAGGCCTCATTTACAGAAGTTGATGTTTTTTTTGTTGTTGTTTTTTTTTTTTTTTTGCAGAGATCCACAGAAAGCAGCTTCTCAGGCCGCAGCAGTAAAAAGAATAAACCTCGTGTTTGTTTTGAGGGTTAAAATCACATTACAAACATCAACACGGCGCAGGATTTGATTCAGTGACCGCAGCTTTTTGCTGCTGATTTTTCTTCTGCTGCTGCTTCTTTTTCCTCCGCAGTGAGTTGGAGGTCTGTCCCTATTAAACTTTACGTCAACCAACCTCAAATGTAATTCTAAATGGGGATTAAACCTCATTAATATTCATGAGGCTGCTGTGTGTGTGTGTGTGAGTGTGTGTGTGGAGAGACAGAGCAGGGAGGAGGGGATCACAATAAAATCAAAATGGATAAATTTAACTTCTTGTTTTATTACTATTTTTTTTTCTCTTGATGTTTTAGAAACGACGCAGAGGGATGAAGAGGCTTTGCGGCCTTTACGCAGGAGTGTTTTGGAGAAACCATCACGCAGCTTTCTGTCAAACTAAAGCGGCTCCACAAAGTACATTTCTTGATTTTCTACGTTTTATTTCTATTGAGTCGTGATTTGCAGGGAAACACTGAAGGAAAGACGCAGATTGTAGCAGAAAATCCGCCTCAAATGGAGTAAAAGTCCGCAGATGTTAGTTTAATGTCAGGCCCAGTCCCCTCCAGAGATGCTCCCAGCGCCTCTTCCTCCTCACAGCTTCACGCAAACAATAAAATAACCACAAATGTCCCGTAAATTCTTCCTGTACGCACTTTGGCGCAGAGCAGAGCGCAGGCCCCTCTGAAGAAGCGCTTTCTCCTGCGGCCCTGTGAAACATTTCCATCTTTTTAAAACCTGCTCTGTGGTTCGTCTGGTCTCGGGACCGGCACCGAGAGGAGGAGGGGGGGCGGAGTGGGAGTGGGCGCTCCGCCGCTGCCTCTGCGCGCTCATAGGCCGCCCGCGCCGTCCGTCAGGCCGCGGACGCGCCCCGATTGGCTGCGGGAGGCGGATCCGCAGGTGATCCTCCGCTCATAGAGGCGCGGGGCGGAGAGAAGGTGATCAATCTCCATCCGTCTCCATTAGAAATCACCTTAACACTCTGACAGACAACGACAAGCCCCCTGAAAGCAAATGAGTTTGATTTATTTGGCTGTAAAAACGCACCGAGGACGCGGTGACGCCCGTGTGCTGCCGACCTGCCTGCGAGTTTTCTCCGTGATGCCGCTCGGTTTGCGCACTCCTGTTTGTTTTTGAGCAAGTCTGCGGCTGCTGCTCGACTTTTGTGCCCCGCAGACTTCCTACTGCTGGATAATTTTACTCGCCTGTTGTGGTCCGAGCGCTCGGGAGCAGGGAAGGAGGAAAAACAAGGTAAACTTTCTCCTGTTTTCTGTCACTGGTTCCACTTTTTTATTTGTGCGTAATTTCACCCAAATGTCTTCCGGCGGTGTTGACGCACAAACTGACGCGCAGAAACCACAGAAAAGTAACTTTTCCAAACGTCGCGAACATTTTAAAAATAAAAGTATTTCCAGTTTAAACGCTCCACGTGCTTGATTCCAATCGGCGCCGCTGCACGTTTCGCGTTAAATTTCTGCGGAGATTTCAATGAATGCGCAGCGCCGAGGACTCCAGCCCGACCCGGATAAATGGAGCCAACTTCCTCCAGAGTAGATAATTTTCATATTTCTATTCCAACTCGTTCCTGCGACTTTTTTATGGAGAGCAATTGGCCATTAAAGCGTTGGAAGCACTTAGTAGATAATTGGAGAGGCGTGTTTTGGTTTTTGTTAATTTATTTTGCTGATAAGAGCCCTTCTGAAACGCTCTCTCCCCGGAGGTCTAATCTAAATTCTAATTGAGTTCATTTGCACCGAGATCTCCTCTTTTCACTGCGGCCTGCCGGAGCTGGAGCTGCGGCTTTAAAGCGCCGCTGGAATACACGTTGGCTTGGTTCGGTCAGTTCGAGCTCATTGTTAAAATAATCTCGCTAATTTAATTTAAATTTCGAGGCTCTGTGTGTGTGTGTTTTTTTTTTTAAATCGTTCTGCTGCGAGGAGAGAAAAGCCATCTGATCAGACACAAACACTGAACAGTTTGTTTTCATGTTAATTCAAGAATTCAGGATTTAATTTAATTCAGCGTCTTTGCAGAAAAACTAAAATATTTACTGTCAGTGTGAAATTAAATGATGCTCAGGGTGATTTTAAATAGGACGAAGAGGAAAGAGAATTCTAAATGTGCTTTTTAGAAAATTTAATGTCACAGCTTGTCTTTTAATCTGCTGCAAATCAAGAATAAAACCACAATTGAGCCTTTTTTAAACAGACTTTGGTTTGTTTATTTTGCAGGGCTGAACTCAAACTAAAATCATAATTTCCTGCAAAATGAAAAAAGCAAAACTGGCTGCAGTTCTTAAAAAAAAAAGAGTAACTGAAGCAGTTTTCAGGACAAAACGCTTCTCAGTTTGCTGGATTCTGGTTCTGATGAGGATCCGCAGGAGTCAGAACTCACACTAAGTCTGACGACCCGAAACAAAACAGAAGGAGCGAGTTCAGAAAAGACCTGAGCTGTGATTGTTTTTTTTTTTTTTTTATAGATTATCAAACCACATCCATGGTGGAGTGTGTGTGTGTCCGCGCAGGCCTGCACACACACACACACTCCGTCTGAGGCAAAGGACGCCGAGTTCTGATGCAGAAATAAAACAAAATAAAATAAAAAAGAGCAGAAGAATGAGACAGAAAGAAGAATAAATGTAGAAGAGAGTTTTTATTTAAGCTGCTCCGGCAGAGTTTTAGTTTAAATATTATTTTTGTGCAGGAAGCTGTTAGTTTATTATTTAGATTTAATTATTAATGAAAAGGTTTTTGCTCTGAGTTGAGTTTTGCAGCTTAAATTAGAGGAAAAGTGAGATTTGACTGAACCTCCTGCAGCTTTAACATCCGGTCTAATAATCCAAGTGAAAGAGAAAAAAGAGGAACTGTGATTTATTCGCGTTTATTTGTGCGCCAGCTTCTTCTTCTTCTTCTTTTCCTTTCTTTCTCCTTCAGGTTGCGCATTGTGCGCAGTCAGGTTGGAAAAGCGGATGAATGAAATAAAAACGTTCACTTTGCGCTGTTTTCTCTCCTCCTCCTCCTCCGCCGGGGTTTGGAGCTGCAGCAGCCGCTTGACCTCCTGATGTTCCTGGAGGGACTCAAAGCGCGTCTCTGCCTCCAACAATAATTCTGCTGCACCAATTTTTAAAACATCAACCTCCTGCTGCTAAATAATCTTTTATTTTTGGGGGGAAGTTTATGTAAAGATTTGCTTTTATTTTGTCTATTTGCAGCAGTTTGCATTAATTGTGGAGGAAATGCGTAAACTGGCTGCAAAGGGAGATTTTTGAAAAGCAAAATAATAAAAAATCAAGCAGCTCGTTGGTAATAATTGTTCTAAATTTAAAGCAGTTTTTCTTTAATTTTTCGCCACTAAATCTGTAAATATTCCATTTAAAGCCCATTTCAGGTCAATATAAACTCTCTTTTTGAGGCTTTTTGCAGGAAAACTTGGATTGATTTATTTCTAAATGTGACTCTTCTTTGTTCCTGCCTCGGTGTGCGCGCGCGCAGTGACTTGGATCGGTCCCCTGTCCCGTCAAGCTGCAGCATCGGGGGAAACCGAACCACTGGCCTGAGCTGGGTGGAGCAGTGACCGCCTGTAGCATGATGTCCTACCTCAAACAGCCCCCCTACGGCGTCAACGGCCTGGGGCTGAGCGGAGCTGCCATGGACCTGCTGCACCCCTCAGTGGGCTACCCAGGTACCAGACACACACACACACACACACACACACACACATTAATGCACAACTCTGAAAGGTTAACGCACCTGCAGCCGGTTTGAAGCAGCAGACATGAGCTGCAGCCAAAGTGCAGTTTTGATCATATTAAAGAATTATTCATATGTGTAATAAAAATAAAACTTTGTGATGAAATTATGACAAAATCATTTTAAAGGTGCTCATGAGTCCCTTTTGTTTTTCCCTGAGTGCAGGTTGGTTTGGGCTCAGCACTCACATGGTGGTGTTACTGACATTTCCTCCTCCTCTTCTTCTTCTGGTGTGGTTTTCTTTCCCGCAGCGACTCCCAGGAAGCAGCGGCGGGAGCGGACGACCTTCACCCGCTCTCAGCTCGACGTCCTCGAGGCTCTGTTCGCCAAAACCCGGTACCCGGACATCTTCATGAGGGAGGAGGTGGCGCTGAAGATCAACCTGCCCGAGTCCAGAGTGCAGGTTTGATCTGACAGAAAACACACCAACTGACCAGAAACCATGTTAATGATCAACATGCTGCTGCACACGCCTCTGATTCTTTAATTTGACTCCATTTAAATACATTAAAAAGTAAAAACCAGCAGTTAAAGGCGTCGACATGTCGATACAAACAGTACAATGAGGTTATTTTATTTATTCCACATATTTATTGAGCTGCTTCTTCAGACCATAAACTACCTTCTCTGTGCTCATCCGTTTAGTTTCACTCTGGTCGACTGTTAATGACGTCATTCGTGTTCATTAATGGTCCCATTAGCAAGCTAACAGGCTACTGGTGTGTGGTTGATTTAATTAATACTTTCCCATGTGCTCCAAAATTCAACACAGTTAATGAAGCCATGAGGAAAATAAAGAATCATGTCGGTGGATTTTAGGCCTCGTAGGATTTCACACGCCAGCCTGATGAAGTCATGACTGCAGTCACACACGCTGGTCGAGCAGCTGTTTCTGGATCGTTTCTTGACTCCAGTGAAGCCGTTTAATTCACAACAGCGTCCGACGTCGACGTAAACGAGCTACGCTCCAGATTTTTACTCAAAAAGCTTCTTTTTCGGTTGATAATCTGTTGATTATTGGCCGTGAGGCAGCTGCAGGCAGCGTAATCTGATCTGAAATATGGGCCGTGCTGCCGGAGAGGCCCGTCGATCCCTGAAAACACTCCACCAACATTTCACTGTTGTACTACAACGCCGAACAAATACTACTCTTGAGGAGGCATTAAGGGGAAAACCGAGGCCGGTCTCTCTCACAGTTTGAGTTATTTTCAGAATGTGTGCGTGAAACTAAACGCTCTACACGATCCGACCCTCTCGGCGCTCTAGAGTTACCCCGCTGTGAGCTGAAACCCAATAGCCTGTTATCTTAGAGCCGTCTACCAGGTATGAAATTAGACCCCTGGCTGGTCCGAGCCAAGGGGCCGGGGTGGAAATGAACCTTGATGGCTAATAACCCCCAATTTTCCTCCATAATGTCCTCCCAGCATGCAGTTTTTTCTCTCCTGTATGTTTTCTGACTCCCGGCTGTTCTTCGGTCGCAGGTTTGGTTCAAGAACCGGCGGGCCAAGTGTCGCCAGCAGCAGCAGAGCGGCAGCAGCGCCAAGGCTCGGCCGCCCAAGAAGAAGTCGTCCCCGGCCCGGGAGAGCACCGGATCGGAGAGCAGCGGCCAGTTCACGCCTCCCGCCGTCTCCAGCACCGGCTCTTCCTCCTCGTCCTCCTCGTCCACCAATCACACGGGCCCGGCGGCGCTCAGCAGCACCTCTACCTCCATCAGCACCGTCTCCTCCATCTGGAGCCCGGCCATCTCCCCCGGAAATGCCCCCGCCCCGGCCGTGGCGCCGCTGCCCGAGCCCGGCCCGCCGTCCAACGCGTCCTGCATGCAGCGCTCCATGTCGGGCTCCGCCGCCGCCGCCACCTCCTACCCCATGTCCTACAACCAGACGCCGGGCTACGGCCAGGGCTACCCCGCCCCGTCCAGCTCCTACTTCAGCGGCGTGGACTGCGGCTCCTACCTGGCCCCCATGCACTCCCACCACCACCCCCACCAGCTCAGCCCCATGACGGCCTCGTCCATGTCGGGCCACCCGCACCACCACATCAGCCAGTCGTCGGGGCACCACCACCATCACCACCACCACCAGGCGTACGGCGGCTCCGGCCTGGCCTTCAACTCCTCCGACTGCCTGGATTACAAAGAGCAGACTGCAGCCTCCTCGTGGAAGCTCAACTTTAACACCACAGACTGCTTGGACTACAAAGACCAGGCCTCCTGGAGGTTCCAAGTCTTGTGATCGGGCTTTTTTTTTTTCCTTTCTCCTCCCTGCTCGTCTGCTCCCTCTTCTTCTTTTACCAGATTAGCTTATTGCTTTTTTTTCCTTTCCTTTTCAAAGACAAAAAGAGTTTATGAACCATAAGATAACAAGATAGCAGCAGGAATGCTCAACAATTGGACTTTTCTTTTTTCTTTTCTCCTCCCTCTTTAAAAATAATAAAAAAAACAGTCGTGTGAAGAGAAGACACGAGGAGCAGCGTAGAAAAGTGGGTTTTTAAAGACGTCCCCTTCTTGGATGAGTTTAACAAAAACAAAAAAACAAACTGCTTAACAGAAAGCCGTCATTTCAACCAAACTCCTTCGACCACCAGCTCTCTGGATGGGAGGAATATTTTCCCCTCTGGTGCACCGACAGGAACTGCCTGCAGCGCCCCTCTTTTACCTCCGACCCAATCAGATCCTGTATAGTTTTTATTTCTGAAATTTGTTATTTTAGGATGACAGAGATTTTTAGTCAGCTGCGCCGAGGAGCTGAAATCTGTAAATATGTATTTGGGTCAGTTACAGTGACCATGTTTAGTTGGTGTTTATTTTTTTGTTTTTGTTTTATTTTTTCCGAATTTAAAATTGTTTATTACCACTTTGGGAGAAAAAAAAAAGGAAAAAAAAACTGTATGTAAATCTTTCCAAATATTCCAAAGAGAACAAATTGGCCATAAAGTTCAGCTTTTATATACACGTTGTTTTAAAAGGAGAAAATCTGTTTTTGGCAAATTGAAAATGTCTTGGAAAACTCTCCACCTAGATGCAGAGGCGCTTTGGGCTTTCTGTCCAGGGTGCGTTTTTGTTTTCCGGATATTCTTCTTCTTCTAGCCTTTAAAGCAAAACCTCCTCTCTTGGGGCATTTGTCGTGATATTGGACATGTTTGAACCGCAGCACTTGGCTTGATATTGGAGTCAAAGCATTTTTAATTAAATTTTTTTTTTCTTCTTTCTTCTTCTGGAGAGGAAATGTGGATTTATAGCTCCAAAAATGACAGTGAGATGTTGAATGTATCTTTAAGGCGACCACCCTTACATACATGTTCATCCAATAAAGATCCGTTAAGTCATATTTTATTTTTCCACAGTGGGTTCTGTCTCAGTTTTCCCCCCAACAGGGAGTCGAGTTTTTCTTTTTTTAGAAGCTTCTGTTCTCTCATTTGAACTAGTCACACTTTTATTTAAAAAAGCTTGTTGATTTTATTTTATTTTTTTATTTTTTTGAACCCCCCTCCCTTAATTATAAGAGGGTAAATGCAAATTGGGGCCATAATTAAAAACAAGCCGTGAACGCATGTTAGGCCTGCATTTCCATTTTAGAGAGCAGCCGTTTAATCCTCTGCCTCAAATTGAAATGCGAACATCTTCTGCGTTTAGCTTCAGGGAGGCCAAGTGTCTTCTCTCTCTTTTTTTATTTTTATATATATATATTTTTTAACTTTGGTTTTTAAAAAGGCCCCAAAACATTGCGCCTGGAGACATTTGATCGAGGCGTAATTGAATGCAGCGCTGTAATGGCGTGATAATTACTCCTGCGCCCTGAGTTGGTTTCTCCAAAATAACCTGCAGGAATCTCAGCGCCTCTGATGCGGTAATTACGTAGGTGGGGCAGGTTAGGGGGTCACAGGAAGAAAGTGTGTGTGTGCGTGTGTGTGTGTGTGTGCGTGTGTGTGTTTAATGCGTTTGTGCTGGCGGGTATGAACGCATTATAAAACGAGGAGGGGAGTCGAGAAAGAAAGAAAGAAAAAAAAAAAAAAGATCTCGCGTCAGTTCTCTGGCAAGGTTGTTCCTGCGCACTGAAGGCCGCACCGAGCGCGTTAATTGCCCCAATAAGACGCCGTCCTTGTGCAAAGAAATTACCCCCCAAATGAGGAGATTGTGCGCAAATTTCTGGCTGTTTTTTAATTAAGACAAATACGAGTTGTTTTTAGTTTGACTTGTGCTGTCTGACAGCAGCTTCAGGGGCCTGTGGTGCTGATTCGGTTCTACTTTTGGTGATAACATGTCAGAAAAAAGGCGCTTTTTATTGTCTCATTAACAGAACAAAATCCTAAAAATGTTCATGAGTGAAGCAGGATAGCAGGCAGAGAGACACCTGACCAGCGTTTATCGATTAATGCAGCAAGTTCATAAGAAAAAAGGCAAATTTCTGTTTTACAAAAATGACTTTTTTGTGTGTTTGCAAGAAGGTCAAAAGCGTTTTGTAGAAATGTGCAAACTTTGAACTACAGGGTTTATTTCTTTGGATTTAAACGATAACAAACCGATAAATGTTGGACCTGATCGATCTGAAGTGTCACAAAACGATCAGAAATATGTGAAACACAAAACAAACCGAGCTGCAGAAATTATTCATTATTCTGTCTTTTTTTCTGGGACGCTTTTTCCTCCTGAGGCCTCTAAAAATCATCCAAATGCAACAATAAGAATCAATCGATCCTTTTCCAATAAGCTCTGATCAGATCATCAGCCTGATCGATAGGCTCCTCGCTGCCCGTGCAGACTCTGTTTCAGCTGCAGCCTCTGTCCTCTCTCTTTATGTAAATGAATCTCGCAGCAGCTGAATAAATATCTGCCGACCGGGACATTAAACATGTTTGCGCCAAGACGCGCAAACAGCGCAGCGAGTGTCCGCCAACAGCGGCGGATTTGTTCGGATTTGCATCGAACAAACATTTGCGACCAAATCTTTGCGCGACTGCTGGAGGAGTCTGAGAGCCACAGGTTCTGTAGGAAGGCAGCTGCTCACCTCCACGCACCGACACCAGGATAAAAAGCTCCGCGGCCGACACGCGGGAGACGGAAGCGTGCGCACAAGTTCACTGATCAAACAGCCGCGAGAGAGAAAGACGGGAACCAAAGTAGAAAAACCAGGATTTTAATCTGATTTTCTGCTCTGGAATAAAACAAAACGGGGATTAAAAATGTTGGAGGAGAGAAGTTCCGGCCTTCACCTCAACGAAACCTAAATACTCCTCACATCTGTTTGGTTCTGCGCACTGTCAGTGAGCTCGAGCGCGTTTTTACGCATGAAAGGGCGCAAAATGACAACGTGGTAATATGCGAAAGAGAAAGTAAAATTTATTATTTGTTTGTTGGTTGTTTACAGCTGAAGACTTAAATTACAGATGCAACAAAACCGCATTATTTTAAACGTGCACGTGGTTTCATCCTCCTGTGGATGTGAATGAAGGAAACATTTTGCTTCTCAGAATTTAAATGTTTTTGGAGCCAATTTGTTATCAAACAAAAATTAATCCTGCAAAAAAAAAATCTATTCAATGTGATGTTTAGCCTCTTGGTGATAATAATTTGGGGTTCGATTAAGGAATTTGCTGTTTTCTCTGACTCACTAAATTAAGAGAATTATTCCACAGAGTTGCTCTAAAATATAATTTGATGATGAAGATAAAATATTAAAATGTTAAAATTTAAATTAAGCCAAAAACTCCTAAAACCTAAATTTGACCTCACAATAAAGAACGACATGTTTAGTCAGTGAATAAATGTAGAGTTTGCTTTGCATTCATGCATTTTGTGTTTTTTTTATTGTTTATTTTGGACATCAGACTGATGTAGTTTCTGTAAAAGACAAACACACACATTGGCTTCATGTTCATTGAGAATGAACCTAAATGTTGTCAAACACTCCTCGAATCGACTTCTTCTAACTTGTAAAGCTGTTTGAACACGATAGAAATAGTTATGAACCTTTATCATGATGGAAATGACAATAAGAAGCAAAGAATGCAGCTGGAACAATTCGCACTGAAGCACAAATTCAAACGGCCTCCTTCCAAACACACCCCTGATTTCAGCGTTCTCGTCCTCGATATCGGGTTTCACGTCAATAACTTGCTGAAAACAAAAGCAGAGAAGCCAAACATGGCCTCCTGTGAACGGAGCCAAAACCGAAAAGGTTCACGAGCGATTAAATTGATGATATCATTGGAATAGTTTCTCTCTTTGTTCGAGTCACATGTTTTCTGATCAGCGTCCAAATTCTTTCAGTGCTTTGAGAGGATTTCTGGTAAACACCAGCATGAGAATGTTTGAGGAGACTCAGAATCGGACCAATAATCTCTCCTTTCACCTGGATCTCGTGACGCGGCCTCTAAAACGTCGACTCGGACAATTAAAAGTTCACCAATTTATGCGAAACCTGCAGCTGCGTTGGACAGAAGTCCGTCGTGTCTGTGGTGTGATTGAGGCGTTGTGTGTGATCGGCGCTGCTCTAACCTGCACTGAGGCTCTGACGCCTTCATGCTCTGTTCAATAGGACGATCGATTGCACCACGACGACGCCTGTTGTCAGCCGCTTGACCTTTCGGCCTCCGCGGCGAAGGTGTCTGAATGTGGCTGGACTGGAAACTGTTGACACTTTATTCACACTTTGTCCAGGAAATGAACTGGAACCGCCGCTGGACCGTCTTTGCATGAGCGGCTGCGATTTGTATCTAGGAAAGAGAAAGCGAGACAGACAGAGAGATAAAGGCAGGAACCGGACTGATCCTCCACTATTTGGTTTGTGAGACCTCGCGGGCCTCGATAAGACAGACAGACGGAGATTCGGAGGACCAGGAGATGCGCTGATAGCAGCCTGCATGCTGGGACTGTTTTCTTGCCTTCCATTTCCATGCAGGACAGGAAAAAAGAAAAAAACACTCGCGCTTGTCTTTCATTGGCTGTCGACTGTCGCCAGACCTTGGCATCCTGGTGCGTTCATAGGCCGGCATGAGCAGCGAGAGGTGATACAGAGGAGGATTATATTTACCTGCCAGGTTAATCTGGGGTCAACTGTACACCGTCATGGGTGTAGTCCGGGCCGCCGTCTCCGGTTTCTCTGCTTTGTCAGACAAGGCCTCGGTTTGCTTCTTTTAAATTCCTACGTCTTGTTTTGTTGAACTTCAAGTGTGGTTGCGTAAAACTGGTCGGTGCAGCAGATTCTGAAGTAACTCTACGCCATCACCGACAACC